TGAGTGAGGGAGGGAGTGAGTGAGAGAGTGAGTGGGTGAGTGTGTGAGTGAGTGAGTGTGTGAGTGCGTGAGTGTGTGAGTGGACGAGTGTGTGAGTGAGTGAGTGAGTGAGTGAGTGAGAGAGCGAGCGAGTGTGTGAGTGAGTGAGTGAGTGAGTGTGTGAGTGAGTGAGTGGGTGAGTGTGTGAGTGAGTGAGTAAGTGAGAGAGCAAGCGAGTGTGTGAGTGAGTAAGTGAGTGAGTGAGTGAGAGAGCGAGCGAGTGTGTGAGTGAGTGAGTGAGTGAGTGAGTGTGTGAGAGTGAGCAAGTGTGTGAGTGAGTGAGTGAGTGAGTGAGTGTGTGAGTGAGTGTGTGAGTGAGTGACTGAGTGAGTGAGTGGGCGAGTGTGTGAGTGAGTGAGTGAGTGAGTGAGTGTGTGAGTAAGTGTGTGAGTGAGTGATTGAGCGAGTGTGTGAGTTAGCGAGTGAGTGAGTTAGTGAGCGAGTGTGTAAGTGAGCGAGTGTGTGATTGAGTGAGTGAGTGAGTGAGTGGGTGAGTGTGTGAGTGACTGAGTGAGTGAGTGAGTGAGTGGGTGAGTTTGTGAGTGAGTGAGTGTGTAAATGAGTGAGAGAGCGAGCGAGTGTGTGAGTGAGTGAGTGAGTGTGTGAGTGAGTGAGTGAGTGGGTGAGTGTGTGAGTGAGTGAGGGAGGGAGTGAGTGAGAGAGCGAGCGAGTGTGTGAGTGAGTGAGTGAGTAAGTGAGTGAGTGAGTGAGTGGGTGAGTGTGTGAGTGAGTGAGTGTGTGAGTGCGTGAGTGTGTGAGTGGACGAGTGTGTGAGTGAGTGAGTGAGTGAGTGAGTGAGAGAGCGAGCGAGTGTGTGAGTGAGTGAGTGAGTGAGTGTGTGAGTGAGTGAGTGTGTGAGTGAGTGAGTAAGTGAGAGAGCAAGCGAGTGTGTGAGTGAGTAAGTGAGTGAGTGAGTGAGAGAGCGAGCGAGTGTGTGAGTGAGTGAGTGAGTGAGTGTGTGAGAGTGAGCAAGTGTGTGAGTGAGTGAGTGAGTGAGTGTCTGAGTGAGTGTGTGAGTGAGTGAGTGAGTGAGTGAGTGGGCGAGTGTGTGAGTGAGTGAGTGAGTGAGTGAGTGTGTGAGTGAGTGAGTGAGTGAGTGAGTGTGTGAGTAAGTGAGTGAGTGAGTGATTGAGCGAGTGTGTGAGTGAGCGAGTGAGTGAGTTAGTGAGCGAGTGTGTAAGTGAGCGAGTGTGTGATTGAGTGAGTGAGTGAGTGAGTGAGTGTGTGAGTGAGTGAGTGAGTGAGTGAAATACACAGAGTTCCACAAGGTGCTTCTATAAGCTATGTTCTAAAAGCTCAACTCTAAATGGGCCGACAGTTAATTCTTGTAGTATTAGAGACATTTCATATGTTTTAGCATTACCTGTTTTAATGACTATAAGAAAGTAAAATGCTGAAAATTGAACATACTGTTGACTAATGAATGTGATCATCATTGTCGTGTGAATGAGATCAATGATTATCAATTACTGTGAAAGGTCAGACAGGAAAACTGCCTCATTTGATCGTAATATGACCGTTCAATGGGAGAATGTGCATAAATGCTCCTGTTGTTAATTATTTCCTTTCCAGGTTGTTTCAAATAAGAACAGCTACATTTTAACACAATGGCTCTGATTTGGATGCTGATTTTACATCTTTACATGATATGTAAGTTTATGAGGTTAAGGTTTATTTTTGGGTTTGTTCAGTAAATATGCTGAAATGTCATCTGCTATTGTCTTTATCGGCTGAGCTCTGATCTGATTCTGGCTTATAGATTCTGCTCAAGCTGTGGATCTTTCTGAGGCATCATTTGTCTCAGCTGAGTCTGATGAAAATGTTACTCTACACTGCAAATTTGCAGAAAAGTTTGCTCAAAACATTTGGGTTTGGTACAAACAAAGAGCAGGATAGGAGCATCAGGAAGTGGCAGTAAAGTTAATTACCAAACTACTAAAGCTGATAAAGGAATGTACTTCTGTGGAAAAGGAGACAGGAACATTATAACATTTTCTAATGGCACATTCTTAGCAGTAAGAGGTAATAAAATTTACTGTTTTGTATATATATATATATATATATATATATATATATATATATATATATACATATGCATATAAAATCATATAGAACTTTACAAATTACAAAAACAATAGAAAACTCATATGAAATGTTTGTAAAGTTTATTTTATCACTCAGGTTTTCATAAGACGTCAAGTCAATCGAATGGACACTATTGTATTTCCAGTGTTTACATTGTGCTTATGTATATGATAATATATTTTGAAGCCATAAAAAGCCAACTGATCAACACAATACCCCATTTATAGTGTTACAATATTGCTACATTTTGAAAACAATGTTAGTCTTTAATAGTTTACAGCTTAATGTGTGACTGAAAAGCCAATATTCACTAAATTCTCATAATGTCTAATTTTATTGACCAGGTCAACCTCAGTTTAACATATCAGTGCTTCAAACTCCAGTACGGGGCTGAGTTTCTCCAGGAGAGTTGGTCACTCTGCAGTGCACGAGATCAGAGCAGCAGAACTCCGAGTGCTCTGGTTCAGAGCTGCTGCAGGACAATCCTTTCCTGAAATCATTTACACTCATCAGAACAGCAGCAGCCGTCAGTGTGAGATCAGCTCTTCTACACACAGCTCTGTGTACAACTTCTCCAAGAACGACCTCGACCAGCACCATACTGGAACTTACTACTGCGCTTTGGCTGCTTGTAGGAAGATCATTGTTGGTATCGGAGCGTCAGTACACTTGGGTAAGCCTGTTTCAGTGCTTTGTGTTGTGTGCCTGTATACTTTAAGTGCTACAAAGCTGTTGGCCATTGAGCAATAATGCATAACGGTAAATCATGAACTCTAAATTCATTCCATATTTGACAGTATTCTAGAGCCATGCGAGCTGAATTTGTTAACTTGGATGTCATCATAAATTCGACATCATTGGAGTTACAGTGAACAGCATTTTGGTGTACAGCACAAGAAATTGCATCTACATTTTTATTTCAGCATCATTTATAGATTGAACTAAAGCTCAGACCACTTTCATTACTGTTCCTTTATTGTTATTTTAATACATAAATGTTATTAATGTCATGGCGATGCAACGACATGTATCAGTCAGTGTTTGTTTTGAACTTATAAGAAAGTAAATATTACAGTGGTTTGATCATTTATATGCAGAGGGTCCTGTGGATCCCACTGTTTTCTATCTGGGAGCAGCTTTGGGAATCTGTGTGATCTGCGCTCAAGCCATTCAAAACTGCAGTTGTGAGTGTAGCTTATTCTGTTATATACATCAGAAACATGTTGATCAGATTACTGACAAACTTAGTTTTTTCTGCAGTTATTGGATGTTTAAATGCATGTAAACAAACTCAGCATAATCTTTCTTATTCCCTCATAGTGAGAGATCATGATTCGGTGGTGGAGAACAAACCCAGTCAGGTACTACATGTTCTCTCATTCACACTGACACTGTTTAACTCCCATAGAGTTCTCTAATCTTCAGCCTTTAATATTTCATATTCATCTCTACAGGACTCTACAGGAGTCCTCTACAGGACTGCTGTGGAGCTGAATTATGCAGCCAAAAGCCTGAGAATGAAGAGTGGATGCTCTGGACACATTGTTTACTCTGAAGTCAGATACTTCTCAGTTACTGACCCCAACAATCACTGACTCACTGAACTCTCTTCTCTTGTAGCAGCAGAAGTGAAGTTTGGGGATATTTTCTGTTACTGTCAGCTTTGTAATCTGTATCTGTTTATTTGTGTTTGTGCTGATATCAGTCAGGATCTACAATCATGTGTTTCACTTTGCTCTGTGCTCAAAACTGCATGACTAAAAAAAACAGTCCAGTTTGGTATGAAGTGTCAGTTCTCTGAAGGAGCCGAGCGAGAACAGTTTTAGAGTGTGTGGTTACTCACACGTCTCACGTGTGGCAAACGTGCTTATGAGCTCAGATGGTGTCTGATATTGTGTTGATGGAAATGTAGAAGACGTGTTTCAGATAGTAGTGAGAATTTCCATATCGCTCTTCAGACCTTTAGAGATTGTGGCTGACGCTTTAAACTGTAGCTTATGATATTCAAAGTACACCCGTTTAAAATCTGTATATCACTGTTGTTGGAAGAAAACTTTGTATCTCTAAAATGGTAACTTTACAGTAGAAGGCAAAAACATACTTTACTTTCAATGTAAGTCAATGGAACCAGACTTTTCCATGTCATTTTTTGGAACATTCCTTTTCATATATATATATATATATATATATATATATATATATATATATATATATACACACACACACACGCATATTTTTTACATATATGATTCATACTTTTTACATATTTCTGCTGAAAGTATTTCCTACACAGCATATCTTTATTCATTTTCATTAAAAATCTGACTGTAAATTCATTTCTGCAGATTATTATTTCAACACTAAATTTGACTCAATATGGTACTGGACTATTTACATGGTCACCCTGGATTTATCATTTATAAAATGATAACTGGTTATGTTTTGTTAATGTTAATATCTCATATATTCAGGCAATTGGATTTCTCCAACAGAACCAAAATAAATGTTATTTATATATATATATATATATATATATATATATATATATATATATATATATATATGTATATATAATTTCTTATTAAACTACAGATCAGGTCTTGAAACCTTTCCAAGAAAATATAGTGGCTTTCTTACATTCGCCTGTTTTTCTACAGAGGCTATTAATCTTTCAGTTAGTAAGATCACAGAATGTTTATCAGAAACCAAAATTATTGCTAAAAATACTGACACAGATGGAGCCAATAGGAACATTGTTGTGGCCAAACAGATCAAGTCAAGCAGACAGAAAGAACCATGTGACTTTTACCATCCAATGGGGTTCAGTACAAGACCCCAGCAAGCTCATACAGTTTGAAGCTTTACTCAGTTACACTCTTGCCTTCATATTAGTTTCAAGTTACAGCTGTTGTTTTTCTGATGATGGATCCAGCTGTGATTATCATCTTACTTCTCTACAAGATGTGTAAGTTTCATAAAGTTACTCACAGAAATTCTTTTTATATTTAGTCTTGTCAATTACGCTCATTTTCAGTTTCATCATTTTTTTTTTCTTATTGACTGAACTTTGGTTAAATAGATTGAACTTTGTTTTACAGATTCTGCTCAAGCTGTGGGAAATTCTGAACAATTGGTCATCTCAGCTGAGCCCGGTAAAACGGTCACTCTCAAATGCACGCCTGTAGATGATTCAAATGCAACTGTTAGGAGGTGGTACAAACAAAGGCTGTGGTATGCTCCAGTGGAAGTGGGATCACAGTTTAAAGATAAGAAATCAAAGATTTCAGCTTCTTTTGACCAATCAAGATTTCAAATGAACAGAACTGCGAGTGGCATATCTCTCAGTATTGAACGTGTCACTAAAGAAGATGAAGGAGTGTACTTCTGTGCAGCGGCTGGAGAGAAAACAATGAGCTTTTCTAATGCTACAGTCTTAACTGTCACAGGTAATTTAAATAATTAATTGTTTTCAGTGTTCTTAACATGTAAGATCTATTTATTTCTTAAAATCAATTATGTGAAGCCATTCTGAAATGTGTTGTTGCTACTGACCTTAATAATATCAATTCTAGTGTAAAAGTGATACTTAGTTTTTAATACCCATTAGATGTCACTGTCACACTTTAGATGCATAATGGACACAGTGCTGTTTCACTGTTTTACTTTTATTATAATGTCATCATACTGATATATCAGTGTTATTCTACCACTGTATATATCACATTTTCCAGGGCAGTCAATCATATCAGTGCTCCAAACTCCAGTACGGGGGTCAGTTTCTCCCGGAGAGTCGGTCACTGGGAATGGAACAGCAGTAGAACTGAGTAAATTTTGCATTGTACAACTAGTTAATTGTGTATATATGTTAATATTTTATCTGTTTATTTACTGTTGCCTTCAAGTAGAACATTTCAATGTAACACAGTTTTTGAGATGTTAACAAAGTCAATCAGAGTGGATTGATATAAAATGGTGAATTGTAAAGAAAAATGCTGATGCAGAATTCTTTGCAGTGATGATAATAAGAACCAGGGGTTGTGAGAGCTGTGCAGAATTTTATTCAAAACCTATATTTTTGGGTGGGGTGGGGGTTGTGCATCTTTTCTTATAACACTCTGCAAGTATTTCTCTAGTATTACGTGGATTCAGTCAAAAACAATGTTTAAATACAAATAAATTGATAAATAAAAACAAAAAACAACAACAAAACACAAAAACTAAATTCATGTTTTCAGTGTTTTAGAGATGTTAAAGGCTTCAGATTTCTGGTTCCTTTCACCACCACTATGAAAAATTCTGACTCAGTATTGTTTCTTAAGAATGCACCATTTCACAGCAAACTACTTTGTATTGTCTTGTTTAATTATCCATAAAAACTGAAAATATATATATATATATATATATATATATATATATATATATATATATATGGCATTGTTCTTTATTTAGACAAAAAACAGTTTGCTAAACAGTAATAAAATGAACATGATATAAAAGTCCAGCTTAACAAGATTAGATTGCGAATGGATTTTAAGGCTTGAACTTTTGTATTCCTGTAGTCAGTATGTTTATAATTCCTGTCTTACAGAAGCTCCTGTAGATCCTAAACGTCCTGTTGGTCCTGTAGATCCTGTAATGCTGACTCTTGCAGTTTTCTCAGCAGTGTGTGTGGCTGTAATCTGCGCTGAAGCCATTTTTATTCACAAACTGAGGAAATCTAAACACTGCACTGGTGGTAAGTGTTCATTATGAGATGAAGCTGAATATTTTAATAGAAAATAGAAAATAGAAAATGGTCATAATACTAATAAGTTTAGTCTCATTAAACTGTATCTGAATGTGATTGTGAAGTTTTATCTCCTCTACAGAGAAAGCTCAGGAGGGGGCTGTGAATGAGAGGACCACCAGACAGGTACTCTTCATGCACTTATTCTTTAAACTATGTTTTCCACTAAAGATTTGGTGGTTCGAATTTCAACCAGAGACAAATCTGTTTTTTCTGGTTTCTGATTCACAACTGAACATGCAAATTACTCTGTAGAGCTCTTTTTTAGTTCATGTACCTAATAAAATGTACAGATAACTCCATTCAGTCATCAGTTAAGAAAAAGGAGAAGAGAAACACAAAACATCAATATGAAGAAAAGTCTTTGTTTAATAATCTGTTTTCCAACCTACAGTACATACAGATAATTATCATTTTTAGATCCATTTACAATATAAATTCATAGTTTTGCTCAAGATCTAAGAGCAGCACAGCATCATCAGCAGAGCAGAGCCTTTAACTGTCAGCAAAACTTTATTTTAATATATACAAATATAGGGTTTATTAAATTTCTGTTCTTTGTTCAGTTTAACACTTCTAAATAGTTTCTTCACTCTGCATTAAGTTTTGTTCATTATGACCTAAAATGCATTATTAGTTGTAATAATGAAAAAAAAATAAAAAATAAAAAATCACACATAATAGAGTCATATGTAAATTTTTGACCCCTGAGCAAATTATGATATAATTATTGTACAAGGTTTTGTTCATTTTCTTTTAAACTATTGAGAAAAAAACAAATGATCAAACAAACAAAAAAATTAAAACATATAATTTGTCATAATGTCATAAGGTGTAATTTCTCATCATTTTGGAGCTAGTAAGTGTTTAATAATCACTAATACATCAAAATGTGTTCCATATTCTAAAGAGCAGCTTAGTTTTTTATTGATTAGAGGCTAAAAAGCACTAACCAAGCTTTAATGAGTCAGTTTGTGTCTCATGTTCTGAAACAATGTAATTTCATAGATGTAATTAAATATCATAAAATTAAAATATCACATTGAAAACTTCTTTAGGTTGTTTCCGCTCTTTTTTATGCTTTAATGAACTCTTTTTAGCTGTAATGGACTTCCTAGTAGTTCAAACTTGAACTACACTGTCAGAAAAAAAGGTACTAAACTGTCACTGGAGCAGTACGCCTGTTGTCACTGGGGTGGTACCCTTAAGGGTACATCTCAGTACTTTTAGCCAGGGAACCCATTGTATTGACTCCACACATCCCGTCTCCTCTCCAGACCTTTATTTTTACTGTTCTTTTTTAAAACATTAGGTCATGAAAAGGTACAAATACATACTTTTCACCTGGGAAAAATTTAATTAAGGTCCACAACTAGACCTTAAAACCACTGTTCTACCGTTAAAGGTACATTTATATTGTTTGTGCTTTGATGAAAGAAAAATGGGTAACACTTTATTTGAAGGGTGTCTACATAACACATTCATATCACCTTACATAAACACTTCATAACATGTTGATGAATGCTTAAATCAACATTTCTAAACTATACATGTTTTACATGATATTAATATGGACTACAATGCCATTTTACCGAAAGATGTTTTTCAAAATAGAAGTCTTTATTTTTTATTTTGAATAACTTTATTATTTTCAATGAAATTCCTTATTTCTGGACTGCCAGCATAAAAATGACCTGGCTTTATCCATTTGGACAGAAAGAGCTTTGACACCTTTTGCCTAGACTTTCAACTTTTATTTATTTATATTTTTTTCTCAAGCATTTGCATTTTGCACTATGCTATTCTTTCTCCTTTTTACCCTAGTTCTTCTTTAAAAATGTACTGTTAAGTCAACAGTCTATACATAGTTGTGAAAATGTTATTTAAAGTTTAACTTTCTTGGGGTAAATGCTAACACTGTTATCCCAATTACTTTGGAATTTTTTTTTGTTTGTTTGTTTTAGTGATGTTCTTCCTCACTTATGGCTTTAGAGAAGGCACAAGTATAACTGTGCATTGGTTATCCTGTGTAACTGACACTTTGAGGTTAAATGTGACACGCACTGATATCCCAAGTAATGGTTCCTTTTTTTTGCATTACTTCAAAGTACAATCGAGTGGTGACTCTTTGACTTTCCTCACTCAGGGTGCTGATAATTTTGTAAGAAATGTCCTTTATAAATTTGCCTTGCTTTGCCTTTACCACAAAAGTGATGGAAGCCACGTTATCCTGACTAAAGTGCATGTTACATGCATGGATAGATATTGAATGGAATGGATAAGCATTATGGACCTGTCCCACCACCACACAACGTTTGAGACTTTAAGCTGATTGACTGTTCATATCATTTTTATGAGTTATTCACTGTCCATATAGTAAAGTGACATGTATGACAACATTTATAAGTGATTCATAGCATTTTTAAGAGTGTATAAATAGTGATAGTGATTTACAGTTAAACATCTACAAGTATTTTCCCTACCTTTGCAGCAAGACCCAATGACTGTGAAAAGGAGTCAGTAAACACCACAAGTAGGAAGGTCCTTTTTTATTGGCAAGACCAATGTTCAGAACAGGCACTTAAACATGCTGCTCAAACTCAAATCAGGAAACTACAAACTCTTCTGAACATGGAACTGCAAAATACAGATGTGTTTGCTAAAATCTTCAATTCTTTTCTAAAACAAAAATAACAACACACCACCTCACGTGGCCATTAATTAAAGGGTATTGCCTTCACCTTGTTCCTTTTCTTCTTAGACTGAAATTGTTTTAAATTTAATTAATGGCCACATTAGGTGGTGTTTTTATTTTTGTTTTAGAAAAGAATTGAAGATTTTAGCAAACACATCTGTATTTTGCAGTTCCATGTTCAGAAGAGTTTGTAGTTTCCTGATTTGAGTTTGAGCAGCATGTTTAAGTGCCTGTTCTCAACAGTGGTCTTGCCAATAAAAAAGGACCTTCCTACTTGTGGTGTTTATTGACTCCTTTTCACAGTCATTGGGTCTTGCTGCAAAGGTAGGGAAAATACTTATAGATGTTTAATTGTAAATCACTATCACTATTTATACACTTAAAAAAGCTATGAATCACTTATAAATGTTGCTTTGCATGTGACTTTACTATATGGACAGTGAATAACTCATAAATATGCTATGAACAGTCAATCAACTTAAAGTCTCAAACTTTGTGTGGTGGTGGGACAGGTCCATAATGCTTATCCATTCCATTCAATATCTATCCATGCATGTAACATGCACTTTAGTCAGGATAACATGGCTTCCATCACTTTTGTGGTAAAGGCAAAGCAAGGCAAATTTATAAAGGAATTACACATTTCTATGAATGTCATCTTTGTAAGCATCTATAAACACATTTATAACATGTTATGAATACCACCGTTAGCTTGGTATTTTTCTTTACTTTGCAGTCTCCAAGCTGAAAAGACTTCTTTGGCACTGACAGTATAACATGTTATCAACACTACTTATAATGCATTATATTAACAATTCATAATGTGTAATAAACATGGCTATAAGGTGTAATCCAGTGTAATAATTTTATAATTGTTTATAATCATGTTTATAATGATGTATGAAGGCATTATAACATGTTATAAATGTGTTTATAGATGCTTAAAAATATGACATTCATAGAAAGTGTTACCAAAAATTTCTTACAAAATTTCTTTAAAATCAATCATATTATCATCTTATTTCTCTTACAAACATTTAAATATGTATGGAGCACAGTTAAATCTACACTTACAGTCGATTATCTCTTTTATTGCCTAATAAGATAAAACTGATGCCAGTTACAAATACATTATTGCTATTAATACTAAAGCAAATATATTCTTCAGGTATTCATTGCTTATCACTGTCATCCTTTAGATTCATGTTACATACACTGTAATTCACTGTTATGCTGTAATTATACTGTTATTACACTGTAATCACAGAATACAAACAGCATTCTACAAGCATTGTTGTAATTGATGACGCCAAACTAAGAAATTTACCTTATATGTTTAATCATTGCTAATATACTAACATATTAGTTTGTGAAACCTGATACTAAAAGAGCAAAACCTCAGTGCAGCTCTGCACAACTGTAAGCTCATTCTGAGCCTCACACTTTTAGCACAATGCTACAACCCATGATTTGCAAACCACTGAACACACTTCTCTACATTAGACACAATAATGTAATATGGTCACTTCTTTGCCATTTTAAGGCACTGCTTTTCAAAACAACTAATCAAACTTTCGACAAAAAATTTCTGTTGGTCTCCACAAATGTTTTTGCTGTGGTTGTGTAATATATTCTATGTAGGAAAAGTTCTGTTCTGAATTTCAGTGGAAGATGCCACCTTTTGAAATGCATGGATGTACTGCCTGATGTTACAATCTGGAGAGGAATAAATTTGTTCATCAGTGTGCAGGGTTGGGATGTAATGGAACACAAGTATTGGGAATGCATATTTAGAATACAGAAGTATTTGTATTCAGTCCAAGTTACATTTTGTAAAGGCAGTATTCAGAATACACTTCTTACACTTTTAGGAGCATATATTTAGAACACATTTTCACTGAGTAAAAAAAAGCAAAAGAAATCATTGATGCTTGTTTTTAAATCAGCACACTGCGTAAAAAAAAACAAAACACATGCATGTTAGATGAACCTTTAAGAGGACCTCATTTAACAGTTTCTGAATATTCTGGCTAAAGCCTGAGTAGACTGACAAATCAATGTGATGAGTCAGTATTAATTTCAGTGTTACTGAGCTCTGCTAAAGCCTGAGTAGACTGAT